AAAGAAGTAGGCCATAACGTATGGTGATGTGAGCATGCGCTTGAGATGGAAGCCGCTGTTGCTGGAGTGTGGTCCAACCTATGCGTACAACAGGTCCTAATTGAAATAGTTGAGAGACGGACGATACACCCGTATAAAACCTTTAAAATCGGTTACAGAGACGGTCACATAAATTGACGACATTGTTCCATACGGCAAGAGCTCCAGCTCGGTCAGCTTCTTTGGAGGACCCGAGTCAAGGGAATATTGTTTTAAACTGCCATGTGGCACTATGTGGTGATGAGCTCCCATAAGTTGCGCTGGCTTTGTTACGTGCTCCGTATGCCAGTGGCCGACTTCCTCGAAAAACCCATTTTGTACTACCAGGCGAAGCGCGAAAACGCGACAGGAAGGGTCAAACAATGACTTGGCAGAGAAGTGTGGCAGCCATTACCAGCAAAATCAACTGCGTCGATCAGGCCGTCTTCTGGATGGAGACCCCGAGATGGGACAGGTCGATGGCCCAGTACCATGTTCAGTGGCGCACATTAACCAAGACGTCACCTTCAATACACAGCTTCCCTTCCTGACCTTCCTAATCCACTAACAACCCAAGCGTTTGGAGCCAATTCGGGCTCACGGCAAGGTCCACTCGTTTTCGACCGTGTTGGATGATTCAGCGGCGATCACTGTCACCTGTTGGGCGATCAGTGTGCGGTTTTTTGGAGCCCATTTTTTCTAATCCCCTCTTCCACGGGGGAATGTAGCACCGCTGCCCCTATATGGGCATGCTGGTCGCCTGAATGAAACAACTTGCTGCCTCCACACTCCCATTACCCACCCCCGAAACCTCCTCGTTATATGGCTTCTCACATTACGGGGACCCTCTCCTCTTTCTGAACCTTAATGGACTTAATTCCAGCCAGTATAGTTAGCAAAATCATTGCAGCACTGAAGCTAGACAATCACGACATAGTGCGCCTCTAGGCCGGGTATACTCGAAGGAGGCACGAGGGCTGGGATACTGCCAGGTTGCCCAAGCCTAGACAGGTGAAGTGGAGAGGCAGAGATCGGGTTCGAACCAAGGATCTTCCGGTGAGTAAATTCGCGCTCTAACCATTTGGGCGATCTCGGCGGACGTACCACTTGTTTTGATACCAAATAAACAGTCAGTTGACTTCACAAGACAGGAATCAAATAACTTCCTTCATCTCGGCGTGGCGACCCATTTTCACATCTGCAAGAAACACGCCCCAACCACTGCAATGTCCAGAATGTAAGTACGAACAAAGTTTCAATTTTCCTCCTGAGTCACACCTGTCTGTTAGTCCAGACAGGATAACCATTGTATAAAAGCCGGTTGCCAATGGACAATTTGAGCACACAGTGGAGCAACACTCAACTCCGAAGGGACGTAGTTCGTTCACAAACAAATATCCTGCATTTTTTACCAGGTTTAGTTAACAACCCATGATTTCAGGGATCCTACGCGTTCATGCTTTGTTATTGATTCAGTGAGATCAGGAATCGGGATGAAATGCTCCTGAAGTAATGAGAGCTTGACAATAGTATTAAGAAAATTGTAACGTTTAGGAAAAAGTGGATTGTTTCAGTAACATTTGTCTTAACAAAGTCGGTGTATTTCATAACCAACAAAGCATATGCGACAGCTATCATAAAAATACGCATGCGTGGCTGCCAAGTAAAACAAAGAGAACCACCAGTGCCTAGCTTTCGACAGGAACATCCAGAAAGGTGTAGTTAGAAAAGTGACTCGGATTATTAAGCATAAACCCTTGCAATGATTAGCACCCATAGCTAGGATTCGGAAGGCAAGAACTTACGCGGATCCCCCGTGTTCGGAACCCTATCGTGCCATCAGGTGTAGGTGAGCAGAATGTGAAATCGAAGCGACTGTCAGGTTTGTCGGTTCCGTAATACGACAAAGCATCACGGTAACTGATTCTGGGGAAGGGCGTTTGCAAAGGCAGTGTGTTGGAAGCCTCTTCCACAAGTGGCCAGAGATAACGGAGAAGCTTTTCTATCAGAGTAAGTACATCATCTGCTGAACAAAAGGACAATTCTAAGTCCAACTGCAGCGATTAAATAAACAAGGCAACAAACTTGCGTGAATTCCGGTTGCCTGTCGGCTCTTGAAGGTTCATCGCGGAAACAGCGCGCGATTTGCATATAACGGTCAACACCACCAACCATAAGAAGCTGCTTAAATTGTTGAGGGCTTTGTGGTAAACTATAAAATAAGCCCGGGAAGGCAGTGGGAGCAATGAACTCCCTTGCACCCTGTGATGCTGAAGTAAAATGGACAATAATTTACCCCAGGTGTTCTCCTGAAGAGGTAAGGTGTTTCCACCTCAACAAAACCTGTGGAGGGTGAAGTAAACCGAGATATTCGTACCACATGAATGGCAAAGGAACTGGCGAGTCCTCAAGAGCATATCAGAACGGAACTTCAAGTTCCTTTGCAGGACGGCGGAACGCAAGTCTAAATATCGATGTGAAAGACGCAGGTATTCGTTGACATTCTATAAAATTCCGGAATGAAAAATCGGAGTCAAAAACCTCATCGTTAAAGCCAAATGGAAGGTTTGGTGCTGCTAGATTGAGAACATCAATCCTAGTTGCAAGCACCTCGACCTGGCCGGTTGGAAGATCCTAGCACAGGTAAGAAATGAAAATCATTTCGGGAGCGGACCTTATTCATGTCTTTACTCGGCCTTGCCGCTACAGTTCCTACCACTCGGACTACAGTTTCCACAGGGGGGAATGGGTCTTTCGCTACATCCGGACCGAGAAAAACTTGCACAAGACCATACTTGTCCCGCAGAATCAAGAATTTCGAGAGCCTAATTCGGTGAATCCAACCGCACAAGCTCACAGTTTCCGACACATGCCGTAACCGAAGCTCCCCACATGTGTGAGAGCGGATACTAACCTGCAATCATAGAATAATGAAAGAAGGCAAATTACGATACGGTTGTCCAGCACGTCTTCGTCTGGCGCAATACTGAGTACATGCGACTTCCATCGGTGAGCAGTCACAAAAAATGAGGGTACTTTGGCCCTAATATTGATTATGGCACAACCCCATGATCGGCAAAAAATAAGACCTTGAAGTTTATACATCGCGGTTCAGGATTTGAACGCAATAGTGAACGGTGAGTAGGTCTAGCTTTTGGGTTTAATCAAATCGGGTTTTTATGATGGTGTTGCAGTTACGTTCCAAGCCTTGTGGATTCTAGCACAAGGGAAAGGTAATAGGGGCTAGCGCTTAGTTTCCCGACGTATACAGCGCCGCTATTTCACGGATTCATACTCTGATACAGGGGATCGGAGATTTCACCCAAGCTTTCCGTGTCACATTTGTTTTTGTCGCTCAGCAAATTTCTTTCATCTGACGGGCACAAGCGATAGAATGACGACGCATTGCCCCACAAGATCTCAATGCTGGTGATAAACTTACCAGATTCATCTCCGACAGTCTTCGAGGCAAGTCTGTTCCACGCATCAGCTTCCCTAAATGAGAAAAGCTGTTATCTAATCAGTGTACTCACCCAGATCGTAAAAATGCACTTGACATGTTCGCGCCGTTAAGTTGGCAGTGGAGGGATAGAGGAAAGAAAATAATTGCACATGTAATTCCGCACACACACTGTTGTTTTTGGACGTGGTGGCCGTATCATATCTGCGGTAATCAAATGGACTTTGGTCTGTGTTTTGTGCCTCTATTTTCCATCCATTACAAAATTACGTATTTTTTCGAATGTTTTTTTGTTTGAATACGAGAAGTTAAAAAACGGTCACTTGCACAATTTCACGCAATACGAACGTGGTCACGTGCTCCGACTCTCACTTCTGATTTCGCTTACAGCGAACATTCGCGAATCTCATGTGCTAACTCCGGTATCAAAACATTTCAGACTATCTTTGGAATTCATTAAATGTGGGAACTGTTCAGAAGAAGACTCTGGACAACCATGACTGGATTACTGTCTACTCGCTGACCTGGGCCAACGACGAACTATTTTAAAGAGAACAATTCTTAGCGAGTCTGCTCCATCTGACCTCTATTAATGCATACTCAATCTAGCGTTGCTGTTTTGATTTCCTTGCCACACACCCCTGGTAAAGTAACTTCTTGTGTAGCCAGACCACTACAAGTGCATACGTGGTCGAGTATTTAAATGACAACCAAAAGGGGAGGCTCTATGGCACTTCTAGGCCTCATTTTCCTGCTTATCATCGCTTTTTCCGTTTCAATATCGGCCATATTGGCAATTTTTCGCTTTAACAACACAAGTTTTTCGCCCTATAGGACATTTCGCTTTCGCGAATTGGCCAGTTGAACAGTACCGGCACTCGCTAATCACTATCGCCAACAAAAAATTTAGATGTGCCTATCTTTTTTACATGAATTTAGTAAAATTGTGCATCCGAGAGATTTGAATATCTGCAAAGTAGGATCCGTTTTTTTTTGTGGTGTTTCGACAGAATACGGCCATTCTGAATATCCTCGCGTAAACAGTGAGTCAAGATTTCCCGGCGTTGCTTTTAAGTGATATTATCAGTTTCTCAGACTACTTTGGACCCCATGGGACTGTTTTACAGTTACACGTTTGGCGAACCCCCTTTATTGCTTTGTTTTGTTCTATTTTCCGATCGCTCAGGAATCCAGCAACTCTTATTCACAATCACTTAGTCCTGTATCATTCTGGTTCAGTCCGGTTTAATGACTACGAAATCTGAACTGTCTCGAATCGATGTTCTGTTCAGGCCAAGCTCCCAGCTTTTGGTGTCAACAACATTAGAGTTTGGTTAGTTTACTAGGATGCCAGTAACACCCGCAACACATTTCCGTCTTCCTGTGTGGCTTCTCAGCTTCCCTCTGAAATTGCCACGAAGTTTATTGATGCGGTTTACTTTTTACAACATACTGCAGGTAACCATTATTAAACAGACTGCAAACCCGATGGAAAAACCTCCGGAAGCTGCTTTCAAGGGTTAAAATAGGCTATCGCATGCCGCCACTGCCGCAAAGTTTGGTTTGCAAGTCGTGCGACGGCTTAGCTGTAAGGCATTTGTGTGTGCACACCAAGTGTTAGCCACCGGGTAAATTTTACTATCCCATCACTCGGAAGAATAAACAGAAACCCGTGAATGCTCCCCAAGCCCTTCAAGTGCCTTGAACTGAGAGCACAGTCGAAACATTTCTGTTTTGCTGAGGCCATCTCATTCCGCCCCGAGCCTGCAATAAACGCCTGAGCACCGGTCAACGGTTAATGGTGCTCCAATTCATTACGTCTACACCCCAAGAAGCTGCGTACTGTCGGACCCGCGTTTGGACCCACACTCCAACTAGGGACAATTAAATCTTAATTTCGCGTTGGGCTCCTACTCTTCCGCGCTTGGGGCCATATGCCAGTTGCCTCCGGTGACATTCTGATCACAGCCGCTGCCTCATTATTTGGTCTGTTAAAATTCTCATCGTGCGTTTCTGTCTGCGAAACGCCGCACGAAGGTTACATCGCTTTACGGATCAGGCTCTGCATCGTTTAATCCATGTTCCCGTGTGCAGCGATGGTGTTTTTGTGGCAAACATTGTTAATACACTGAGCCATTTCATTCCCGCTCCCAGCCGTCACCTTATCTTGGAAACGGACGCATCACAAACCGTTGTAGCTGTGGTTCACCAAACCCAGGGAGCATCACTGACTCCTTCATCGGTTGGTGTTATCTCCAGATAGCACGAACATTTTGCACAATCTCAACAATCCTGCTTGTTTTTGGCAGTTGATTTGGTCAAATGCGAAACTTTTATCTATATCCATTTTAGGTTAACACAATAAACGCTAACTTGTGTTATGCAACCTTGGAATAACTGCCATGCCTGCTGCACTACTGTGGGCTAATAAAGCACTCCATAAAGCACTCCAAAACAGTCACCTCGACCTCCTTCAATAGGTAGTAATGAATCACAGCAAATCCACTGCGGCAAATAAAACTCTGACCCCGGCTCCTCAGTTTCATAATTATTTCCACACCACAGTGCTGCGTGGCTACCGAACATTCGTGCACACGCCGGCAAGCGCTTTTGTCTGGCAAGTTGCGTGATGATGCTTCCCAAAATGAGAAAACCGACGCATCAGAGTGTAATTTAAGCGCTGTTGCACACTGAGGGCTTCTGGTCTTTTGTCCCAACAAGTATTAGGTATGTTCGCTTTGGAAGCGACTAGCGTTTCCATGTGGGCCCCTCCGTTCCTTGATTGGATATGCTGGGGACTGCGCAAAGAATACTGACACCGGCATCGTCTCCATGCTCCAAATTACGATCCCCAGATGCTACATGAATTTGAGGTTCCCAACCCCGGGTTTGATGTTGTGAGACTATCAGGTCTGCTCCGCATCGTCTGTAATATTCAGGCTTGATCTATTGCCAGGTGGATGAAAATGAATACCGCTTGGTTAGCTTTACATGATGACCATAAATTGGTTAATGCGCTCACCAGTAGTGCCTCACTCGCTGAAAATTTGTCACCAACTCATCTGTGAAATGGACAAATCTTTATTGTGATTAAGCGTGCTTAAGGACTTCCCCGTTCAGCAGTATGCACTCCAAGTATGATGGTATATTGTGAATTGATATTGTACCTTGAATTGTGGCTTACTCTTCAACGCCGTGTCGCTTTAAGGTAGACTGCAGTGATCACAATAAACAGCAATACTGAAACAAACGAGCCATTGATAGCTGGTTGTTAAGGGCTGTATCGTACGGTTGACGAAGGCCAGCTCTGGAAAGATGTCGAATTCCGTTTGTCCCTCCGTCAAGCTGTTGCAGGATGTTTGCCTACTGCGCACCAATGTACTTTTATCGACTTGTCCTAATCCGTTCTTTCTTTTACATCCGCTGCCAGAGTTTTTGTTGATTCACTGTTGTACGTCCTTTCGATGATTATTTGGATTTACAAGGACCCGAGCAAGTGTCCTCCAACATTCGTTCGCTGGAAGCCTTGACGTCGGAAATACGGAAACGTGGTCATCCTTATGAATTTTCTGTACTTCCTTTGAGTCCCATATGATAACGCTTAAACTAACGAAGAATCGATGGGATTGAGTTTTCAAGTGACATTCATTCTAATTAAAAACCATTGCCGTATCCCCCTAAGGTTTTTCCTAAGCAAAGGGCCAAATGTTCTGCCAGAAGAAGCGTTTAGGACCATAGGCAGTTCTTGACGTTTGTCGAAGAATACAAAAATATTCATACGGTCTTTTGAATTCGAACGCATGAAAAAATCGAGCTTGTCGAAGAGGTGAACCTTTATAAAGGTTCCAGGAACAGAAACGTTTCAACAGTTTCACTGACCACTGAACGCGCGTCGGAACCTCCGGAGCATGTCTGACGCCGCCGCAATCAGTGGACGGGCAATAATCCGAAACAACAGGTTTGACAGGCCCGAAAAAGGGTCCTCGAGCAGGTACCCAGAAGCTACATTCATTCAGCAGACGCTGGTAGCCTACACATATCAAAATCTGATAGCGCCCATCCAGAGGGGCAGTTCGAAAAATCAAGACTGAGCGGCCAATGCTGCTTAGGCATTCATTCTATTCGGGCACGAAACAACAACCCTCATACCTACTAAAGCAAATGCCCAAAACCCATCATCGAGCATCCGCTGTCTTACGCTCGCCTACACCCTCGTCTGCAGTTGGTCTAAACTGATCCAAGCTAGACTGTTACGCCGATATAAAGAGCCACAAACAAGATAATTTCACAATACACAATATGTGCCTTTGGGAATATCCTGCTAGTCTCCATTTTTCTAGGTTCCATACAAACACCCGTTCTATAGGCATCGGGCCCCCCAAATTACACTTAAATTGGCCATAAAACGTGGGATGAGGGGCACATAGAAGAACTGCCTACGTCAGCAACAGAATCACTCGCGAAAAACAAAAATCACCCTCTCCACCGCATCAAGATGCTTCCCAGCCACCATAACAGAAAAATTCTCGTCGGCCGCAAGCTATCTATTTGCTCTATTTCGGGCTCACTGGGCGTTCACTTAG